CCCTGGGGGGGGGGACATACTGCAAATGTGCCCCCCCTCCTCGTGGGGCTGAGGCCTGACAAACCCACACCATCCTCCAGCCTGCCTGGGGGGGGGGTCAGCAAAACACCCCCCCCCAGCTCAGCCCTACTGCTCGCCTCCGTCCCGACGTGCCCCGTCCTTCATCCCTGCGCCCCCCCTCGTGCCACTCGCTCGGGTCCCTGTCCCCCAGCCCTGTCCCTGCCCCGTGATGGGGTACAGGGGTGCTCCCACTGCCTTTCGCCCCCCCAGACACAACCTGGACTGGGGGGGGGGGGGGGGGGGTCCCTGTTCCTGCTGTCCCCCCTCCCACTGAGGGCTTGTGGGGGGGGGGCCCTGGGAATAGCAAAGCTCCCCCCCCCAAACACACGCACACCCACACGTGCACACCCACGCACACGCACACGCAGAGCCGCCCCGGCCCCCGGCCCCGACATGGAGGGGGGGGCGTTAAGACTTTGTTAGTGACCGTGCTGGCCCCCCCTGCCTGCCCGCGCCCCGGGGCCAGAGAGGTGGCAGGGGGACACGGGGTGGGGGGGGGGCCACAGCCTTACTCCTCCTCCTCCTCCCTCCTCCTCCTCCTCCTCCTCCTCCTCCTCCTCCTCCTCCTCCTCCTCCTCCTCCTCCTCGCCCCCCCCTCAGGCTTTCTTGGGCGGGGGGGCCAGTTTGATGATCTCCTCTTCTGAGGGCTGCCGGATGATGTCTGCTGAGACACGGGGGGGTCAGTGGGGGGGTCCCCCTAAGCAGAAGGACCCTGTCCCTGCCCTGGGGTCTAGTGTGGGGGGCATCCCTCTCGGGGGGGGCGGGGGGGCGCTCACCCTTGTACTTCTTGGCGCTGGGGATGCGCGTGAGCTTGGTGTCCACCTCGTCCTCCTCGGAGATCTTGAGGACCTGGGTGCGGTACTGCACCACCATGGTCAGCAGGTCGGGGCGGCGCGAGATCTCGAAGATGTGCTCGATGTAGGACAGGTTGTCTGCAGGGACGGGGACGTGGCTGGGCCACCCCCGCCCCATGGCGAAGGGTGCCCGAGGACAGGGAGCGAGGTGGGGGACACAGAGGGGGGGTGACAGGGGGAGGGCAGGGGCCGGGGCGGGGATGGGGACAGGGATGACAATGTCGGGGACGGGAAGAGGGGACAAAGGACAGCAACGAGGGCTGGGATGGGGAGCAGAGGATGCGACAGGGACCAGGGCGGGGAGGGGGGACAGGGGACGGGGGGGGGGGACAGGGACAGGGGGCGGGAGCAGGGCTGGCAGCAGGTGACAGCGATGAAGAGCAGGGCTGGGGACTGGAACCAGGAGAGGGGGCAGGGACAGGGATGGGGACCACAGGGGACAGGGACCAGTACAAGGGACCAGGATGGGGACCAGGACAGGGAAAAGGGGACGGTGAGGGCTGGGGGGGGGTCACGGACTGGAACGGGGATCGGGAGAGGGGACGGGGATGGGACCAGACCACCGGGGCCAGGAGAGGGGATGGGGACTGGGACAGGGGCCAGGGAGCAGGATGGGGACCAGCCCAGGGGACAGAGCCCAGGGGAGGGGCGGGGGGGGTCTCACCCCTGTCCAGTTTGCTGTGCTTCTCCAGGAAGGCGAACCAGTGGTGGCTGGTGGCGATGGCCTCGCTCTCCTCGCTGGGGATGTCCTCCTTGCAGGCCGACTTCAGCTGCTCCAGGTCCTCGGCCGTGATGTTCTGGGCCAGCTCCTCCAGCAAGCTGCGGTACTCGGCCATGGCTGGGCACCACCCGCGTCACGAGCTGCCCGGCCTCAGCCGCCGCAGCGCCCCCCCCGGCCCCAGCTGCCCCCCCCAGAGCCACGGCGTCCGCCGAGCTCCGCTGGCCCGTGACTCATGTGATGCTCAGGGGATGTGACAGGGACGGGGCGGGGGGGGGACGGCGGGACCCGCCGGGTGCTGCTGGAGGCTGCTCTGCTGCCTGTGACCCCCCCCGTAACCCTCCCCCGGTGCGAGGGGAGCCTCGCACACACCCCCCGGTCCCCCCCAGCTTTACACTTGCACAGACCCCCCCCCCCCACATGGTGTGACACCCCCCAGCACCGCACAGCCCTCCCCGCCCCCCCCCCCCCAGTTGGCTCTGGGCACCCTGGGTTGGGGGGCGCCGAGTGGGGGCCACCCCGAGCCCCAGCGTCAGGCCCGGGTGGGTGGGGGGGGTCGGGGCTGGGGTGTGGGGGGGGTCACACTCTGTCCCCCATCTCCTGTTGCGCCTCGGTTGCCATGGTGACCACTGCCACCCACCCTGGGGATGCGGTTGCCGTGGTGATGGCAGCACCCGCCCGCCCCGTGGGTGCTGAGAGTGGGGGGGGGGAGGGTGGGGACACGACGACCTGGCCACCCCACGCGGGCCACACAGACACGGGGGAGGCGGGGGGGAACACAGACACACGGACACAGACGCGCCGCTACCCACCGCGCTGCTCACCCCCATCGGCACGTGCACGCATGCGCACCCCCCCAATGCACACACACCCCCCCCCACGCACACGCGTGCCTACACCCGTAAACACACCCACCCCCCACCCCCCCACGCAGACACCCGCACACACAGACACCCACCCACGCCCCGCACCCGCGTGCACACGTGCGCACAGGCGTGCTCCGACGCTCACGCACACGCGTGCCCCCCCCTCCCCCCGCGCACACGCGTGTCCCAGCCCTGTCCGGCCCCTTTAAGGCAGCCGATGACTCAGCCCTTGGCCCGGACGCGCGGGTCCTTCCGGGCGGGGGGGTGGGGGTGGGGACCCCCCCCCGCCGGGGCCCTCCGCCCCTTCCCAGCCCCGGCGGGTCCGGCCCCGATCCCCCCGCACCCCCCGGCGGGGGAAGGGGGGGGAGGGGATGCTCAGGACCACCCCCCCCGCGGGACCCCCCCCATTCGCTCTTCCCATGCAAAGCACTCCATGAATATGCACGAGGGGCGTGGTCCCACGGGGGGCCATTCAAAGGGGGGGGCTGGGGGGGGCGCCTAACTCCGCCGCCGCGAGGGGGGGCCAGGACACGGCGGGGGGGGGGGGGGGGGCAGGACACGGGTGGGCCGGTTCCTTCCCGCCTTTGTCTCCCCCGCTCCGGCCAGGTGCCGGGGGGGGAGGGGAGGGGGGCTCCTCCAATCACTGCGTGTCCCCCCCCGTGATTTTGGGGTGTGTGGCGATGGCGGGACCGCAAGGAGGGGCCCCCCCGCGCCCCCCCCGCAGCCCAGGGGACAAGGGGCCTTTGTGCCGCGGGAGCAGCGCAGCGCCGGCCCGACCCCACCGGGAAACCGGCCCGGCCCCACGGACACGGCCCCGTGGGCATCCTGCTGCTGCGTGGGCACCCCCGTGCCCCACGGGCATCGTCCTGCCCCACGGGCACCGCCCCGAGCCACGGGCATCGACCTGCCGCGTGGGCACCGGCACCATCGGGGGTCGGGGGGGGGGTCCCCACCCGTGTCCCGGGGTGTCCCGCCCCTCCGATGACCCGAGCAGCATCCCCGGCACCGCACATCCCACATCTGGGGCACATCTGGGTGCGCCCCCCCGCCCCCCGCCGCCGCCGCCCCGCCCCGTGCCAGTTTCCCCCCGCGGGGCCGCGCGGAAGCTCCGTGGGGCGAAGCACGGAGGGGGATGGGGGGGCGATGAGTCGTGGCCCCCCCAGCCCTCCCCGTCCCGGCGCCCGGGGCGGAAGAGGCGGCTCCGCTGCCACCACGGCCCAGTTTGGCCCCAGTTGGGCCCAGCCCGACCCTGGGGCGCGTGACCTCCTCATGCTCCCCTTCCCACTCGTGTTTCTCAGGAGTCCGGTTGCGCGCACCTCCCCCTAACCCCTCCGGCACCCACCCGCGGGGGGGGTGGGGGCACACCCTGCCCCGGAGGAATGGGTGGCATCCCGGTGCTCCGCTGGTACTGGGCGGCAGTGGGAGGGCTGGGTGGCACCGTGGGGACGGAGCACGGGGAGGGGGGACCCCGTGTCCCGCAGGGACCGGATGGCAGCCGGGGGGGGGGGGTGGGGGACACGCCTGGTCTCGGGTGGGGAAAGGGGGGGACACCCCATGGCACCGCGGGGAGCGGGTGGGGACGGTCACCGGGACCGAGTGGGGATGGTGGACCCCGCGTCCCGCGTGGGGGGCCGGGTGGCCCTGCGTGGACCGGCGCGACCGCCCCCCCCACCCCCCACTCCCTCCCCGCGGGTCACGGGTTCGGGCCCCCCACGGCAGCGAAAGGGGAAGTGAAAGGGGCACCGGCGGCGGCGCCGGGGGGGGCGGGGCACCAGTGTTGGGGGGAGGTGGGGGGGGTCCTCGCAGTCCCGGTAACACCGGGGCCGTTAACCCCTTCCTAACCACGGCCGCGGCGGGGCATCAACGGGGGAGGCACTGCCCTTTACCGGGGGGGGATGGACTACCGGGAAGGGGGAGCCTACTACCGGGGGGGGGGGGGGGGGGGGGGGGGGGGGGGCTATTACCGCGGTCCCCGCCCGGCTGAGGGAACCGGGAGCGGCACCGGGAGCGGATGGAGGCGGTGGCCGCAGCCCCCATCCGGTGCCGGTGCCGGTGCCGGCGGGGGGAGCCCCCGGTGCCCGCGCAGCCCCGCACTTACCGGCCGGCTGGGGCGGTGCCGGTGGCGGTGGCGGTGCCGGTGCGGCCGCTCGGTCTCTCGGTGCTGCCGCTCTGAGCAGCGGGGCGGGGCGCGGGAGAGGGCGGCGCTTAGCGGGGCGGGGCCGCGTGGGCGGGGCTTGGCGGGGCGGGGCGGCCCGAGGAACCGTCCCGCCCAACGGGGAGCGGGCGTGGGGGGGGGGGGGGAGCTGGCGCGGACGCCCGTGGGGAAGGATCCTCGCTGTGTCCTACATCTCTTCGGAGTCCCCCATTTCCCCCCCCCCCCCGGGACCCCCGGTCACCACCTCAGGACAGAACCACACCGGGGGGACACCCACGAGTGTCTGAGTCCCCCGTGGGTGTCACCGTCCCCCCAGGAAGCTCCAGGGAAAGTCCCCCCGGGGATCTCGCATCTCCACGCCCACCTCCTGCAACACAAACTGGTTTTTTTGGGGACTTTAATGGCCGGCGCGGGGATGGGGCTCAGCACAAGGCCTAGTCGTCATCATCATCGTCATCGTCATCATCATCATCATCGTCGTCGTCGTCGTCCTCGGTGTTGATGTCTCCCGCCAGCACGTCCTCGATCCACTCCTGCAGCTCGGCCGGGCCGGGCAGCTCGTCCTCGTCCGCCACCTCCAGCCCCACGCTGTCGGCCTGGGGACACGGTGGGGGGACACGACACGAGGGGATGGGGGGGGCACACCCACTGTGGGACCCCCCCCCCGGGAGGGCAGGACAGGCTGGGACCCCTACACGCAGGGGCTGCCTTTGAGGTCCAGTCGTGTGATGAGCCTGTCAGGACTCAGCTCCCAGGGAGGGGGCAGGGGGGGCCACACCGGGGGTCCCGTGGAGGGGAGACACGCACACTCACGTCGGTGACGTTGACCACCCCGACCTGGGGCCGGGACAGGTCGATGTTGAAGGTTTTCTCCCAGTAAGGGATGAGCTGGGGGGGGGAGCGGGGCGCAGAGATCAGCCCCCCCCTCCTCCAGCCCGCCCTGCAGCACCAAGGAGGGAGTGGGGGCCGTGGTGGGGTGACCCCCCCGGGGGGGCTGGTACCAGTGGGAAACCCTCGGGGTCGATCCAGGGGATGCTGAGGTCGGGGTCATCTGTCTTATCCCGGGCCACGTCCTTCAGGGTCTCCAGGAACTCGAATCCATCTGGGGGGGGACAGGGCTGAGGGGCACTTGGACCCCCCCAAGTCCCGGCGACCCCCCCCCAGCTCCCCCAGTCCCCCCCTCACCTGGATCATCCTCCTCTGCGAAGGCCACGATGTGGATCCCCTCCATGTCATCCTCCTGGGGGGACACGGGCCAGTGTCACCAGTTGGGGGGGCACCCCAGTGGGGGGGGGGGGTGTCTCCCGGAAGGGGTGGGGGTGTCGAGGTGAGGGGTCAGATCCCCCACATCTCTCTTCCCCCCCCCAACTCACCCAGGTCTCGTACATGCTCTCTGCTTTGAGCTTCCGCAGAGTGGCCCTGGGAAATGGGGGGGGGGGGCGGTTAGGGGCACCCCCAAATCCCTACCCCCACCCCGGGCTCTGCTGTGTAGCTGGGAGGGCTGCTCAAGTAGGGGTGCAGCAGCTGGGGGGGGGGCAGGACAGCCAGGCTGGCTCTGGGGGGGCTGGGGGGGCTCACAGGGCTGGGGCTGAGCCCCCCGACACCACTGGCACCTCGGTGGGGGCCGTGGAGCGTTGCCCCATCTCCTGTGGAATTGAGGCCACGGCGGGGGGGGCAGATTGATCCGGGGGGGGATTAAGGCTGCAGGAACATCCCGGCAGCACCTGGGCCTTAACCCTGCCCTGCCCACCCTGGCAGGACCCCCAGCCTGGGGGGGGCTCGGCTGCCCCATGGCCCACCGACATTCCCCCCCATTGCCTGCTGAGGCCTCTCAAACTCGTGTCACCCCAGGGGCTGCAGCCAACAAAGGGGTATTTGGGGGGGGGGAGGGGGGGGAGGGCTGCCAGAGCAGGGGGAGGGGAGTGCGCAGCACCCCCCCCCCGGCCCCGGGAATCCCCTGACCCAGAGGCTGCGGCTGCCCCGGCAACCACCTCCCCATGGCAACCCATCCTAATGGCAACCTGTCCCCATGACAACCACCTCCCCATGGCAACATGTCCCCATGGCAACCATCTCCCCATGGCAACCTGTCCCCATGGCAACCACTTCCCTATGCCAGCTGCTTCTCCATGGCAACCGCCTCCCCATGGCAACCACCTCCCATGGCAACCGCTTCTCCATGGCAACCACCTCCCATGGCAACCACCTCCCATGGCAACCACCTCCCCATGGCAACAACCTCCCGTGACAACTGCTTCTCCATGGCAACCACCTCCGATGGCAACGTGTCCCCATGGCAACCACCCTCCGTGGCACCCCGGTCCCCCAGCCCCCCGAGGGCGGCCGGGCGCCCACTGCCTGTGCTCCCCCACGAAGGCCACGAGCTCGTCCTTGCCGTGGGGCCGGCCGGGGACGCTCAGCGCCTCCTCCATGAAGGGCTCGTAGAAGTCGACCTCGTTCAGCTTCAGGGTGAGGTTCCTGGCACCTGGGGAGCGGGGGGCCCTGAGCCACCCCTGGGTGCTGGCGGCAGGTGGCCCTGCCCCCCGGGACCCTCGCCCCTACCCTGCTGTCGAAGGTGGCGAAGAAGGGGATTTAGGGGTGAAACTCCTCCGCCGCTTCCTCGAAGGCCTTGAAATCTGGGGGAGCAGGGAGGGGTCCTGGCGCTGGCACTGGGTACCGGCACAGGATACCGGCACCGGGTACCGGCACCGGGTACCGGCACTGGGAACCAGCACTGGGAACTGGCACTGGGTACCGGCACTGGGTACCGGCACCGGGTACCAGCACTGGGAACTGGCACCGGGTACCGGCACTGGGTACCAGCACTGGGAACTGGCACCGGGTACCGGCACTGGGTACCAGCACTGGGTACCGGCACTGGGTACCGGCACAGGATACCGGCACCGGGTACCGGCACCGGGTACCGGCACTGGGTACCCACACTGGGTACTGGCACTGGGTACCAGCACAGGATACCGGCACCGGGTACTGGCACCAGGTACTGGCACTGGGAACTGGCACTGGGTACCGTCACTGGGTACCCACACCGGGCACCCGCACTGGGTACCGGCACCGGGTACCGGCACTGGGAACCGGCACTGGGTACCCGCACTGGGTACTGGCACTGGGTACCGGCACTGGGAACCGGCACCGGGTACCCGCACTGGGTACTGGCACCGGGTACCGGCACTGGGTACCGGCACTGGGTACCCACACCAGGTACCCGCACTGGGTACCGGCACTGGGTACCGGCACCCGGTACCGGCCCCACAGCCCCTCACCGGCCCCCCCAGCCCAGTTCCATCCTGGCGGCTCTGGCTCCAGAAGGGACCCCCCAGCCCCACAGTCCCGAACATGGCTGGGGTGGTCTGGGTCAGTCCCTGTGCCCTCGTGGAGGGACAGACAGACGGACACAGGGAGGGAGGGACACAGGGAGGGAGGGACAGATGGACCCAGGGATGGACGGATGGACACAGGGATGGATAAACAGACGGTTGGGAGAATGCTTTGGGGGCTGGCACGGGGGCTGTGTTTGGGGAGCCAGGAGGGATGGGGGGGACACAGGGAACACACAGGGGGACACGAGGGGACAGATGGGGACTTGGGGGGCCACAGACGGGAACACAGGGGGCAGAGGGGCACACAGGGGGTGGGGGATCCCTGTACCTGGTGGGGAGGGGATGCAGGGGGGACATGTGCCAGGCAGGGCGATCTGGGGGGGGCGCTGTGCCTGCGGGGGCCCAGCAGGGTGGGGTAGGGGTGGGGGCTGCACCCTTACCCAGCTTCTTGGCCACGGCCGCATCCTTCTCGGAGCTGATGAGGCCAAAGCCCACTCCCCTGTCCTCCGGCACCTGGGCTGCCAGCGGGGGGGACACCACACGGGGGGGCACTGCCACCGGCCCTGTCCCCTCTCCCCTGAGAAGGGCCCCCCAGAGTCCCCGGCCCGGCTACTCCATCCCCCCGCCCACACCGGGGGTCCCGGCTGGTGCCGGCTCATGGGGACGGGTCCCCCCGGCAGCCGGTGTCCCCTCAGCTGGTGACACTGGCAGCGGGCTGGGCTCTGTTCTGGGGGTGAGGGGCCCCCCCGGCCCAAGTATGGAGCGGGCAAAGACAGGTAGGGGTGTCCCCAGCCCTGTCACGCCCAGCTCCTATCCCCTCCCAGTGAGCCCATCCTGCCCCCGCCCGGCCCCTGTGGACCCCCCCCCACCCTGGGTGCTGCTGTCTGTCCCTCCCAGTGTCCCCTGGTCCCTACAGTGTCCCCAGTGCCACACGGGTGCTGGTGCCCCAGCGTCAATGTGTGTCCCACCAGCATCCCCCTGTCCCCACCAGCGTCCCCAGTGCCACAGGGGTGCAGTCACCCCCCCCGTCAGCGTCCCCTGGTCCCCACCAGTGTCCCCGATGCCGGGGGGGGGGGTGCGTGTCCCGGACCCACCTCCAGGACCGGTTCCTCCGTCTCGTGGTGGCGCTGAGGCCGCCCGGTCGCCCTGGCCGGGGGGTGGGGGAGCAGGGCCGGCACCGGGAACCGCTTCAGCCCCACCCGGTAGTTCTTCGGGGTGACGGGTGACACCCGGTCCAGCCCCGAGCCCCCCGGGGACCCCGGCCCCCGGCACCAGCAGCGACAGCACCCACCCCCAGACCCCCAGCACCAGCTGGATGGACCCATGGACGAGGACAGATCCACGGACAGGGACAGACACACAGATAGAGGGTGCCCAGGCAGACAGGCAGGCAGGGACAGACAGGCGGACAGACAGGGATGGGACTGACAGACAAGCAGGGGTGGACACACAGCCAGGGAACGGAGACACAGCCCTGGGGACAGACAGACAGACAGCTCCTGGGCTGGACAACAGCAGGATGGGGATAGACACGCCTTCAGGGACAGACAGACAGTGCCTTCACGTCCAGGGGTGGACAGACAGACACAGCCCAGCTGGGACCAATAGCCCCAGCACAGGGGATGGACACACAGCCCCTGCCTGGCCCCGGGGGGGACGGACAGACACAGCCCCCGGGGGGGGACACGGCGAGACACGGCCCCTTCCGGCCCTGCCAGGAGGGGACAGACGGACACACGGCCCCTCCCCAGCCCCAAGGTGTCCGAAGGCACAAAGAGGGGGGACAGTGGCACCCTGACCCCCCCCCCCGCACCCCTGAATCCCTCCCCCCCATCACAGTGGGGTCTCAGGGCCCCGGGGGGGGCCGGCGCCGGCGGGGGGGGGCTCAGCCTGTCCCCTCGTGTCCCCCCCCGCCCCGGCCCCGCTCCAGCTCCATATTAAGCAAGGAAAGAGGAGCCGGCGGGAGGGAGCCGGGGGGGGGCCGGGGGCTAAAAATAAGGAGCTGAGCCTGGGGTCACCTGCGTCACGCCCCGGGGACGGGGGGGCCCTGGGGTCTGGGCCCCAGGGGGTGCAGGGGACCCCTCGGTGGCCGTTCCCCACCCCAGCCTCGGGGTCCCTGGGGCACAGGCACCCCCGTGAGGGTCTGGGTGCCCCCCTCCCACCCTGCCCCTCCAAGCACCCCCACCCCCAGATGGGACCCAGCTCTGGGTTGGGGTTGACGGGGACCCCCACAGCCCTGTGCGGGAGGGGGGGACGCGGCATTTCGTCACCCCCATCTCCCCCTCAGATTGAGCGACCACCCGCTCTGCTGACCCAAGCTGGGGGGGGGGCAAACCCCTCTGTGGACACCCCCAGGGATGGGGAGGGGGCTTCTTCCCCCAAGCCAAGACACCGTGGGAGCCAGGACCCCCCGCTCTCAGGGAGGTGGGTTGCCCGGGACCCCCTTGCCAAGGGCCGTGGGTACCAGGGAGGCGGGAATTGGGGTGCCCTGGACCCCCATGCTGGCCTTATAGTGTGCCTGGGGCCCTCACACACGGGTGCCAGAGGGTGCAGGGGGGGGGTCCCTGCCCCCCCCGCCAAGCCCCCCTCATCCCCACCGACTCGGATCCTTGTTTTTAACCCCGGGTGACACCAAAACCCCGTTGGTGAAACCCGAGCGGGGCCGGACCCCGAGCCCTCCCCGAGCCCCCCCTGCAGCGCTGCTGACTCAGCAGAGCAGGGACACCCCCAGCCCCCCCACGGTACGGGGACCCGGGTGTCCGGATGGGTGTGGGGTGTGCCGGGGCCTTGCGTGACATGGGGGGGGGCATGGGGAGGTGTGGGGGGGGCACTGCCCCCCCCCCAACACGTGTGCGCACACGTGTTGCATGCTCACACATGTGCCCCGTGAGGCTCCGGCAGGTCACCCTGTAGTAAGGGGGGGGGGTCCCTAGGGTGCTGGGGGGGGCCGTGGGGGGGCAGCAGGTTATTGATACCCCCCCCTTCTCCCCACCCTCCATGTCCCCCATGACCCCCCCAGCACAGACGAGGGTATGAAAGAGTTAAATTGTTTTATTGCTCTGAAAGTGTGTGGGGGGGTCTGGGTGCCTCATGGGGGGGGCAGAGGGTGCCCCCCCCCGCACTCCTGGGTACCCCCAGGCCAGGGGGTCCCAACCCCCCCCACTGTACCCAGCAGCGCCAGCCCCCGGGGTTAGTATGGGGGTGCAGGGTCGGGGTGAGCGGGGGGCCGGGGGGGCCCACACAGGCACCTAGTAGTAGGTCTCCTTCTCCACCCAGCCTGCGAGGGGACAGGCGTCGGGGGGGGGCAAGATGGGGGGTGCCCCCACCCCCTGGGGGCGCCCCAGCCCCCCTGGGTGCCCCCCACCTCTCCTGGGTTTCCCCTTCTCCCATGGGGACTCCCCACTTCCCTGTGTCCCCCCCAACCACCCTGGGTGCTCCCCATGCTTCTCGCGTGCCCCTCCACCACCACCCACTTCCCCGGGTCACCCCCCAGCCCCTGTGGGTGCCCCCCACCCACCCTGGGTATCCCCTAAGCCCTCCTCCCCCCGCGCCCCCCACTCCTTTGGGTGCAGGTGCCAGCCCTGAGGGGGGCTTTGAGGGCAGCAGCTGGTTTGAAGGGGCAGTGGGGGCGGCAGGGGAGCAAGATGGGGGGGCTCAAGGGGCTGGGCCAGGCGTGGGGGGGGGCAGTGGCCACTTTGGGAAAGGGCAGTGGTGACTTTGGGGGTGTCAAAAAGGAAGGATTTGGGGGGCAGAATCCATAGTAGGGGGGGGGTTGGGGGGGGCTGTACCCCCAAATGGGGGGGAGAGCAATGCCCACCCTAGGGGGAAATACCCACGAGGGGGTTTGGGGGGGGTCACGCTGGCGGGGGGGGGGGGGTCTCACCTCCGGGGTAGCGGCGCAGGATGAGCTTGCGCACCTCGTCGTAGGCGAAGATGAGGAGGCTGTAGGGGAAGGCGCAGAACCACCAGGTGACCCTGGGGGGGGGGGGGGGGGGGGAAAGCGTTAATAGGGGGGCACCCATGGGTGTGGGGGGTGGGCAGGGCCGGGGCGCCCCCCCCCCCCAACTCACTTGAGGGGGTACATGCGCAGGGCCACCCCCATGCCGGGGCAGTAGGACAGGAACGCCGCCAGCGCCGTCTCCTCCAGCAGCCCGAAGATCAGGATCTTGTTCCTGTGGGGGAGCAGCGGGGGTGCAAGGCATGGGGGGGGCACCCATGGGTGCTGGGGAGGGGTCGGGGTTCGGGGGGGGGGGGGCGGCACCCACTTCATGCCCTGCTGGAAGACGGAGTTGCGGCGGGTCTTGCAGATGATGAGGTCGGCCCACTGCACCACCACGATGCTGGCGAAGAAGGCCGTGTGGCACGTGAACTCCACCACCTTGCGCTGCTCGTAGGTCTGGGGGGGGCGGGGGGGGCACGGCCTCAGCGCACACGCGTGTGCCCCCCCCCAGCCCCTGTGACCTGCACCTCCCCCCCCCCGCCTACCCCCACCTCGCACGCTCGCGCACGAGGATGCACCGTGCGGGGGGGGGCAGGGGCACAAGCGAGTGTGCGCAGGGGGACGTGAGGGAGGAGCGCGGGATGGTGTGTGTGAGTGCACTCACACGCGTGTGCAAGGGCCTCGCACGGGCGCAGGTGTGGGAGGGCGTGCTCACCCAAGTGCGTGCAAGCACATGTGCAGGCGTGCAAAGGCACAGTGCACCAAGGGGTGCGCGGGGGGGGGGGG